CAGGATCTATCGTCCCGACTGCTAATGCAGCTTAATGACGTGTTCGCATGCTCGTTCTTATTAATAATGTAATGCGGGATGTGGTATCTGTGTCCGATGTTTTCCCAATTTTGCCGCAGAGGTGGAAAAATGCGTGAGATTACGCGATAACCGCGCTCTCCGAGGCAGAGCCAAGTATGATTACTTATGGCAGTGCACGTCTCCCCGTCTCCCCCGCCTTGCTGTCGACCGTACAGCGCCGCGAAACTTTGGCTTAAAATTTTTGCGTAAAAACCCACTTCTGCATTCGCGACAACGCCGGGGAAGAGAGACATAATTACGAGCGTTGCATCGATGTCACTGTGCCGCATCAGATAATACTTCCATATACGTTAATTATACCCCCCGATTCCATTCCCCCGTGCTCGAAAGAAAAACATACAGCCACACGCGGACCTTGCAGCATGAATGTTTCATCCTGAAGCGAGCGTATCATCGTTATGTCGTAACAGTAATTAGCGAATTTAAATAGAACGCCAATTTACAACAAGTCCGTCGCTATCCCAGTTAATTGCCGTAATGAAACCAGATGTACGTGAATATAATAATATTTGACGAACCGGAATTTTCGTTTCGAAAAGCTCTCGCGCGGGAGATGGAAACAATAAAGGGAGGAGACGCATAAAATCCTAATGCACAAAATTGCAGGTTGATGCGTGCAAACGCAACAGCGCGATCCTAATAGCTCGGCGGGTTAACGTTGTAATTACAGAGTATTACAAACGTGCAGGGAGATCGCGCGACATTTCGGATTCGGCGCGGGCGACGTTTATCGAAACGGAGAGCGGGGCTCTCGAGGTGAGTTCGGTAAACAGACTCGGTTAAGATGCGACGATGTCCTCGACGACTCGTCCGAGCGACGTGCGACGAGCCGAGACGCAGAGCGCGAAGCACGCGAGCCCCGACAGCGTCACGAAGAGTGGCTCGCTCGCTGCACCGAGCTTAGTTTCCCATTCAATGAATCCTTACATGGAACACACGTCGCCGAGGACGGCGGACATTACGCGCGTTTCCCGTCCCCCCCCCCTCATCCGTGCCGTGGCAGATGGCACTCCTATCTGCGTCAATTACAGGCGGACTCTTCTCTCTCGTCGGGGCGTTTCGAGGGAAGAGAGATACGTGGCGCAACGAGGACCTCGGATCTTGATGGTTTCGCAGAGAGCGAACCGACATTACGGGCGGCCACGTTGGCGCGCGCGGGCGGCAGGGATCGCGGAACAGGAGTGCGCGGAGAGGAGAGGAGAGGAGAGAGGAGGAAAGGAGAGAAGCGAGAGAGAAAGAGAGAGAGAGAGAGAGGGGGAGAGAGAGAGAGAGAGATCGTCGCAAGAGATGGTGGAGGTGGAGGAGCAGCACAGCAATCAATACAGAGCCAGCAGAGCAAAACCATCCCTCGACTACTCCGCGTGTCGCTCTCGCTCTCAGCCCCTCTCTCTCTCTCTCTCTCTCTTTTTCGAACGGCCGCCAATACTTCTCTCCCTTTCTCTATCGGGCACACCAGTGCTCTCCTTCCCTCCCTCCTCTCGCGCTATCTCTCTCGAACCGGCGCGAATACAACGGTTGCATGAACGCGCTACAGCGCCGTTAACGGGGACTTCCCCACGCGTCCGCCGAATACACGCGCGCAGATGCACATGCACTTCCCGCGGTGGCACCAATACGAGCGCGCGCGGCCGCGCGCGTACGCAACGGGGCGACCGGGGCGTCATGCTAGCGTACGTACGTCGCATCGGCTGCAATTATAGCGGCGATGCTCGTGGCGCGTAGCACGAGAAACGAGAAACGACGGCGCGCCGCGGCGCGGCGTGGCGTGAGCGGGAGCGAGCGAGCACGAACGCCGAGTAGGTGTTCCTCCCGACCGGGGCGCGCGTACTTTTTCCGCGAACCCGGGCTATGCCGTGGGGAAAACGCGGGAGATACGCGGAAGCTGTAATAAGCGAATTATGTGGGAGTACTCGCGACGGCGATCGATACGAAGAAATACGCCGGGCCGGGCGCCGTAATCCCTTTCGAGAATGCCGCGACGCCCACGGTGGAAATCGCCGCCGCCGCCGCCGTTCGCGGCGAATCGAATTTAAATCGATTGCGGAATCGAGTCATATTAACGCTGAAACGGCACTTTGTTTAGCGAATAAATGCGGGACTCGCTCCGGCCGCGGCGGAGGCGCGCGGCGGCCTCCGGACGAGAGACGCTCGACGTGTCGCGAAACAGAATCGCGAGGGATTTTTATTCGGCAATGAAATCGTTGATAGAAACGTTTATATCGCGTAAGAAAAGCGATATTTTAAAACTTTTCATTTGACTTATAAACTTGAAGAGATGACAGGAGCTTCGTAAAAAGTAACAGAATGGAATTAGTATCATCTCTTTTTGATCCAGTCTCTCTCTCTCTCTTTCCTTGCCACGGCACGTGTTTGATGCATTGTATAGTGTTCTATAGTCGTATCGGAAGTTCAAAGAAACGCTATTTTATGACAAGTTAAAAAAATGTTGGATACGACGCACAGTGTATACACTCACACACACATATACACACACACATATATATAATGTACAGAAAGTTCCTACAAAGCGCGCGCAATGTAAAAATAGAAAACCCGATAGTGAAATATTAATGTGACCCGTATTTCTCGATGCATCTACCGCTCGTTACGCGGAGAAAAAGATCAACGATCGGCCAGCGAAACGCTCGTGCGTGCACGCTTACGACAATCGCCGCGGGCCATTACGACTTTCTACCGCCTCGCGCGCTGGAAGAAGACGCGATTAATGAGTCGCGAGAGCGCCGCGATTAATATGATCGTAATTGACGAACGTAAATTACAGGCCGAAAGAAGCGCGCGCGAACGAGCGAGCGAGCGAGCGAGCGAGAGAGAGAGAGAGAGAGAGAGAGAGAGAGAGAGAGAGAGAGAGAGAAGAGAAAGAGAGAAAGAGAGAGAGAGA